GACCAACGAACAGCTCATTAAAAATTTCTCCTCTTCTTTAAAGGCTGAATTTGCCAAAGAAGAAGAAGAAGGCAGATCACGAGGAGGACGAGCGGGAGAACTCCATGAAGTGCAGCAACAGCGTGGAGCAGTTGGATGTGGATGGAGACAATTCCAGTGAGGTGTCCAGCGAGATTAATTTCAGCTATGAATACGCCCAGATGGAGGTCACCATGAAGGCCCTTGGGAGCAATGGTGAGGAGCAGCAAGAATTATTGGGAATATGCTCAGAACTCGAGGAGAACCACAGAATGTTTCCCTTCTAACTTCCTTGTGGAGAATTTTTTCTCGTGAATGACTCACCACAACCATTTTTGTGCTCGAGGAGGGAAAAATAACCATGGCAGACTGTTTGCTTTGGCCCTTCTCTCTGAGGGGAAAGCCAGAATTGGAATGCTGGTGGAACTGCAGTCTCAAATCAAAATGTTTTCTCTTGGCTGTTTGTTTTCCTTGTGTTATGTCTCACTCAGGCATTAACTGTGGTGATTTCTGTCTCTGAATCCRTGTTTTTGAGTTTTTGTGGTCTTATGCAGCTATCCCAGAATGACATTATTTTGGGAAATGGGAGAACTCCCCCTTTTTTTTTTTTTTCTTCCAGCTTGGGCTTCCCCTTTTCTTAATTCTCTAAACCTTCTGTCCTGTAAATATTTATTTTCCTTCAGAACTCAGAAACACTTCTAAAAAAAAAAAATTGCAACAAAAATGGGAGTCTTCCTCTTTTTACCTGCTCCCCGTGCTTGCACCACRCCTCCAGGACGCTCTTCAGCGTGGATTTCCCCATAACACTTTATTTCCCAATTGTTCCTAGACCCGATGCAGTCAATCCTGCAAAGCCTGGAGCAGCAGCACGAGGAGGAGAAGAGGTCAGCCCTGGAGAGGCAGAGGTTGATGTACGAGCACGAGCTGGAGCAGCTGCGGCGCCGCCTCTCGCCTGAGAAGCAGCATTTTCGCAGCATGGAGCGCTTCTCCTTTCATTCACCCAGTGCCCAGCAGCGCCTCAGGCAGTGGGCAGAGGAGAGGTGAGTGACCCACTGGGACTTTCAGGGGGGTCAGCCAAAGCTCTGCAGTGAATTTGGGGAGATTTRGTTCAGGGAGGGGTGGGCTGGATCTTGCTCGGTCCAAAAGAGTCRCTGGAAACTGATGGTTAAAACAAGGCTCAACTGAAACCCACCAGACAAAGTTCAGARAATAAAGCAGAGAAATTTAATCTAGGCCTATTGGTACATTGAGGGCAGACAAACACCCTGAATGGACCCCGAGTCATGAGATTTTCCCTTTTTATAAGTTCTGCCTTATGGACACATCGGGCCCCAATGACACCTTCAGGTGATGATGTCACCCACCCYAAGCTGCTCCCCCAAATTCTCTGTTGTTTCCATATTTTGGGGCTCTGAGGCAGTGAAATGTCCTTGGATTTCAGGCTCAGAGAGGAATTTTTTTGTCTGAAGATGGGAGAACAGGAACTTTAGCGATGTACTAGAGAAGTACAAGAATACAGATACATGAAAATATAGAAATTAAAAATCCTAAGATATCACTTGGAAGCGCTGATGGGTTCCTGCGAGGATTTGTGGCACAGGACACGGCCAAAATTTGTGTGAGAATCACAGAATGATGTAACAGCTCAGGTGGAAGGGACCTCAAAGCTCATCCAGTTCCACCCCTGCCACAGGGAGAACACTTTCCACTGTCTCAAGTTGCTCCAAGCCCTGTCCAACCTGGCCTTGRRCASCTCCAGAATAACCAGACCTAAAGTAGTAGAAAATATCAGAAATAATAATGAGTTCCTGCATTGTTATTAAGGAGAAACTCTATTCTGCTCAGAAGCAAATTTAAGATGAGGTGATTGGATGTAATTTTGAAGCTCTGATGTGAATTGTTCTTTCATGGGTCATGATTCAGTTGCTGGAAGTTTCTTTTTCCTCTTGGCTCAGATTCACCTGTGACCTGGGCAGGTCCTGGCCACCAGAATGCAAATAAAAAACAGGAGTAAGAGGATGACAAAAAGAATTTTAATCCAGAGCATTGCAAAAACCATTTCATAACTAGAGAGGGGTCACTGTCCTCTCTGCCTCTTCCTGGGTGATGACACTGAGGTTATTTACTTCAGCCCCTAAATGATCTTTTCCACCATTGCTGTCACAAAGAGCMGCTGCAGGAAGAAGGGGAAACGCTAAATACATGAGTGTGGTGACGACATTGTCATGAAAAATAAAAACTTAATATATATGGCTGGAGAAGCAACTTTGGGAGTAAAAAATATTTGAGAAAAGGTGTCAGCTGTGTGCCTGGGGTATTTTGTGGCACCAGATTCCTTCGCTGCACTGCTGACTCTCTCCCACTCTTGGCAGGAGGGGCAGTGAGTGAATAAACCTCTCTTTGTGATTGGAACATCCCCATCTATGGTGGGAAAGCTCTGGAAGGAGCTGCCTGTTTAGCAGGTGCATGGAAATGTCTCCAAAGCCAGCAGCAGCCACATTTTTTGACTGCGAAATTCGTGCAGATAATTCTTTTTTTTTCCCCGGATGAAATATAATTTCATTCACCTGATTCTTGTGTTAAAAATGGTAAAATTATTTGGGTGGGAAGGGACTTGAAAGATCTTCCAGTGCCACTGGGCAGRGACACCTTCCACTATCCCAGGGTGCTCCAAGCCCTGTCCAACCTGGCTTTGGACACTTCCAGGGRTCCAGGGGCAGCCACAGCTTCTCTGGGAATTCCATYGCAGCCTGTCACCGCCCTCACAGCCAGGAATTCCATCCCAATCTCCCCATTCCCTGTGTCCTGTCCCTCCATCCCTTGTCCCCAGTCCCTCTCCAGCTCTCCTGGAGCCCCTTTAGTCTCTGGAAGGGGCTCTGAGGTTTTCCTGGAGCCTTCTCCTCTCCAGGTGAGCACCCTCAGCTCTCCCAGCCTGGCTCCAGAGGGATTCCAGCCCTTGGAGCAGCTCCATGACCTCCTCTGGACTCCCTCCAMATCCTCCTTTTGTTGGGATCACAAAACCATCACAGATCTCCAGAGCTGGACACTGGGTGTTGTGCAGGATGGTGCCCAAAGCTTTGCAGGAAAATCCAGAGTCCTGTCAGGATCCCAAACCTTCCAGGAAATATTTCCCAAAGCATTGCCCAGAGAAAGCAAAACGGACTCCTGCAAGTTCAGCTGGAGGTTTTTTAACTCCCCCGACAAGAACCAGGGGTGTGGACCCAAGGGTGCTCCTGGGTGTCTCTGGGGGGTTCATTTCTCCTTTATTTGTAGCAACCCCCTGTCCCCTCCCTCTGAAATCCTCACCCACAGCTCTCAGCTGGCTCCTCACCCATTTATTCTGCTTCCAGCACATAAACCTCATGATTTTTCCTGTCCTCCCTCCCCAATCCCCTTCTTTCAGAGAGGAAATGCTGACCCACAGCCTGAGGAAGCTGCGAGAGCAGATTGTTAAAGCCAATTTGTAYGTGAGAGAAGCCAATTTCATCGGAGAGGAGCTGGACAAGAGGACAGAGTACAAAGTGACCCTCCAGATCCCAGCCTCGAGCCTTAATGCCAACAGCAAGGTACAGCCACCCTGACTGAGTTAAATGGTTTCTCAGTGAGTTTGTCTCTCTATTTTTGGGTATTTTTTATTCTGGTTATGATGGCTGAGATAATTTTTCAGTCCACTAAGGTGCATTAAATATATTTCTGCTACAACTTTATCTTGTTTTATACCATGAAAAATCCCATAATGTGCCATAAATGATCAATGTTTTGGTGCAAGACCTTTCCTCTGGTGCTGAAGTTGTCACTTGCTGGGTGACACCTCTTTCAGGTATTTGCCATTCCTATGTGGGCCTTGGGCTTTCATCATCCCAGGGAGCTGCAAAAACTCTGCCATCCCCATTGTGGAGGGAGGAGCTGGAGCAGAGAGGATTTGGATTATTTATCCCCAGGCATCTCAGAAATTTGGGAAAGAGGGAGCTGAACCCAGAATTCCACGTCTCAGGCTGGCTGCTTGAGCTGTGTTAGTTCTGTGCTTGAGGCCAAATCAGTATTTTGGTGATACTCACACTGTCCTTAGTACAGAATTATAATTTTAATCAGTTTTAGAAAGTTTTTTCTGTTTTCTGGGTAAGACTCATCCAGGTACAGGATGGTGAAGGGGGTTAAGTGTCTGCACTGGTTGAAAGTTGCAGGCAGTAGTGATTTTGGCTGGAGCTCCAGGCCTGGATATCCTCGAGGATATTTGTGAAATGCTTAAATGTTCCMATTTCTAACACTTATGCAAGGTGAAAATGCATGGAAACCCCTGCCTGTGGCTGTGATTTGACTTCCCAATTCAGCTGAGCACCAACACACTGTGACAGCTGAACTCAGAGCCTGTCACGCCTGGGTTTGGGAAAGAACAGACTTTTCCCAAAGATATTCTCAAGTTTGTGTTAGTTTTAAACTCTTTTTTACTGCTGTGACACGAATTAAATCTTGGTGTKCTCGTTTGGCAGAGAGGTGCAATTCTCAGCGAGCCCGCCATCCAGGTGAGGAGGAAAGGGAAAGGCAAACAGATCTGGTCACTGGAAAAACTGGAAAATCGCCTGGTGGATATGAGGGACCTTTACCAGGAGTGGAAAGACTGTGAGGAAGACAATCCAGTAAGTGAAGAGTGCTCTGGTAATTAATTCCTGTTACATTTTTGGGAGGATTGCTGGGTGGAGGTGGGCAGGGAATATGCAAAGAGCTGAGTTTTCCGCAGGTTTTGCTTTTCCCTGGACTGAATTGATCCTCAGAATTCATTCACCCTCATCTTGGCACTCTGGATAATTTCATGAGGGAATGGAGCACACAATGAGTAATTGTTGATGTTCAGGAATCTGACAGAGTTCAGAGAAATTGCTGAGGACTTCATCCAAAGCGAAATTCATTCCTGTTCTGATCTAATCCAGCCTCTTGCTAGACTCCTTTTTTCTTTCTCTGCAACACTTTGAGATGTGTTTCCTTCAAGATCTGGGTTCCTGAGGTGCCTCTGGTTTTTCCTGCAGGTGATGAGAGCTTATTTCAGGAGAGCTGATCCCTTCTACGACGAGCAGGAGAACCACAGCCTTATTGGAGTCGCCAACGTTTTCCTTGAGTGCCTGTTCTACGATGTCAAACTGCAATATGCTGTCCCAATCATCAATCAGAAGGGAGAGGTTTGTCATTCTTTGTCATCTGTCCCTTCCCAACTTAATTACAGCCTGTGGCTCTAATTACCAGGATGGAGTCGGGAATTCCCAGTTTTACGTGCACAAGTTCTTTGCTGACAGTGTGGGGTTGTTCAAATCCCATAATACTTTAATGGAGTTTTCAGACAGCTCTGAATCCCAGCACAGTGATGGTGAAAGGAGAAAGCTTCCTGAGCACCTTTCTGAGGGAAATAGCCCAAAATGAGTATTTAGGATGAGCTGTAGCTCAGCCGGTTTCACTGCCGGCCATCGAGAAAATAAATTGTTAAATAAATTCTGTAAGAACAGCTTCAAAGGCAGCAGAGCACACCAGACTCTGCACCAAGTGTGCACTTTGCAGACTCTCCAGTCTGCTTTGAGGGTCAGATTGTTCCCAAAATCATCCCAGGGGCTGATTTCTTTGTGGTTTTTGCACCAAAAGCTCTTTGATTGTTCTCTGAATCGTTTTTCACGTGGTGCAACAAATGCAGAGTGCAAGAGCAACATGAAAAGAAATAAAATATTGTCTGCTTGCAGACTGGGAGGGGATGGACCTGGCACTGGTTTCTGGCACAAAAATCATTCTGTCTCCTGCCTTGGCAGGTTTCAGGTCGTCTCCACGTGGAAGTGGTCCGAGTGAGTGGGGAGATCGATGACAGGCTGGTGGGAGGTGAGGACAGTCCCGACTGTTCCAATGACAACGACGTCCAGGAGAGAAAACTCGTCTGCAGGGTGAGTTCCTGGTGAATCCCAACCTCTGAGTGACCTTCTCTGTTCCCATGCTGAGTCAGAGAGAAATCCTTGGCTTCTGGATGCTGGATTTCTCTTTGTAACCTCGTTTTTTTTTGGTTTTTTTTTCTGGAATGGCTGAAATAATACAGGATAATTAGAAGGGATTTGTTCCTTTCATTAACTGTGTTTATCCCAGGAGTTTTGGAAGCCAGGGAAGATCTACTGGGATTGGCTCTTCAATATCTGTTCCAAAAGTGTGACAGAATCTGATAAACTCCCACTGTTCTGTGTGTCATTCTCTCACAATATTTCTTTTTCTCTCTCAATATTTCCTTTTCTTTCTCAACATTTATTTCTCTCTCTCAATATTTCCTTCTCTTACTCATTATTTTCTTCTCTTTCTCAGTATTTCCTTCTTTTTCTCTCAATATTTCCTTTTTCTCTCAGTATTTCTCTCTCAATATTTCTTTCTCTCAATATTTCCTTTTTTTCTCTCAGTATTTCTCTTAATATTTCTCTTTCAATATTTCCTTCTCTTTCTAAATATTTTTCTCTCTCAATATTTCTCTCTGTCAACATTTCTTTCTCTCAATATTTCCTTCTCTTTGTCAATATTTCCTTCTTTTTCTCTCAATATTTCTTTCTCAAGATTTCTTTTTTCTCTCCGTATTTCTCTCTCTCTCAATATTTCTCTTTCTCTCAATATTTCCCTCTCTCAATATTTTTCTCTTTCAATATTTCCTTCTCTCTCAATATTTCTTTCTCTCTCAGTATTTCTTTCTCTCTCTCTCAATATTACTTTCTCTCTTTCTCTCAATATTTCTTTCTCTCTCTCAATATTTCTTTCTCTCTTTCTCTCAATATTTCTTTGCTCTCTCAATATTTCTAAATGTTTCTAAATATGAAATATTTTGTAATATATATACAGTGTGTTAATTACTGTTGGTAATAAAATCAGTAGGAGGTATTTACCAGCAGTTCAGTGCTGTAGTACAACTGCAAGCTGCAAGTAAGAAAAGGGAGAGGGGAAGAAAAGATTCCCAACCTTGCTGACTTCTGGACAATATGAACAATTTGGGAGAAATTGTGGGGTTTTTCCCATTTTTTATCCTGTCCCATAGAACTCCATGTGCTTAAAAGCAGGATGGGTCATTCGAGCAAAAAATATTCTGCCAAATACTGAGAATCTTACTACAGAAATCCAGCTCATTTGGTCATAATTTGACAAATTAAGAATAAAATTTTTAAATATCTGGTGAATATGGTGACTTTGCTTAGATCTGAATGAAAACTCACAACATTTTTTTCTATTTGGCCTTGATTTTGAAAAAGGGGACAGGCTGATTTTGCATTCTTGAGGTTGATTTGGGATTGTTTCCAGCATCACAGAGTAAGGACAAGTAATATCTTAAATCTTAAAAAATTTTTGGAGAATAAAGGAGCCAGTGGAAGTGTGAGATTTTTATTGAATTCCTCTCCAATTGCAATGGTTTTGATGCATTTCACCATTAAAAATAAGCAAAACATTCCTCCCAGGAAATATGAGCCTGGTGACATCTAGTGACTGTGCCCAGCTGCTGCACTCCACATGAGTATCAGTGCAGAAATTCGATTTTCTAAATTGTTTTTTGTTTTGTTCCTCTTATTTTATTTTTTCTTATCCTTTGCAGTGGAACATTRTTCTCCAAGGATTTTTAATTCCGCGCCTGATCAATAAATTTCTTTTTCACCTCCTTTCCAGATTAAAATACTKCAAGCTACGGGTTTGCCACAGCACCTGTCCAACTTTGTGTTCTGCAAATACACGTTCTGGGATCAAGCAGAGCCAGTTAATGTTGCCCCTGAGGTGGATCCTTCCCAATCCTCCATCAGCAAGGAGCCACGGTGCATGGTTGTCTTTGACCACTGCAATGTAATTTCTTTTTYTGTTTTGTTAATTAAACTGTAAGGCGGACAAATTTTTTTTTTAATTTTGTAAGGCAAACAAAAAAAAAGCAGGTTTAGGTTTGTGTAGCAGTTYTAATTGCCTTTTTGCTCACATTATAATATTTCATGATGCCCTAATATAATTTTTAGTTTCATGATGCTGATACACTGATGTCTTTTTTAGTAAGAATTTGAATTATCTTCGGAGTCCATTTAAATTTATTTCCTCTACACAGTTCACCTTTTCCAAAATCACTGAAGGTGAAGTGGGTAAACAGAAGAAAACATCAGTTCAGCAGAGAAACAGATGAGTTTGCCCACAGTAAAATTGGCTGTGGATGGGGATATTTATCTGAGGATACTTGATGTCAGTAACTGAGATGATCATTCTGATGAAATGGAGAGAAATGTCCCAGTTTTATCCTGCTGGAGATGTTGAGGTTGGGTTGTTAAAAGTCAGAACAGACTATTTAGGATAAACTATTTTTTCCCATTGGTTTTGGAGYGTCTTTAATGGGGACATCCAAAGTCAGCTTGGATGAATCCCAGCCAATCTCCCAGTTCCCATCGTGTTCTCTCATTTCTCATTACACCGAGCAGTTTATTCCTTTTCCCATTTGTGAAATAGATGTAACACCTTCAGATGAGGTTTGATTTTCTGATTTTGAACATCAGAACCTACCCTTTGATTTTTTTCTGGACCGTTGGCTCAGGGCTTACAACAGCCTGTGGTCATTTTTCAGCTCCTCATGGWCTTTAATCTTTAGAAAATCACATTMCTTTGTGACTTTYYTCMTGATTTTACAAWATTRTGTCTTGGRAAGCAGRAGGACTTAATTAAATGTTTTTTTATTAAAGTCAAAGCAGTAAAATCTCCCAGCCTGAGCCGTGAAGTCACAATTATCAACTGCTCTGTCCCTTCCAGGAGGTTTCTGTGAATATTTCTGAAGACTTCATGGAGCATCTTTAYGATGGTGCTTTGGCCATTGAAGTTTATGGGCACAAGCAGAGYGGGGACCGAAAAAACCCAGCCCTGTGGGATTTGGGAATCATTCAGGCCAAAACACGCAGCCTTCGTGACAGGTAAACACAGAAAACACACCCTCAGGTCAGAATTGTGAAAAAATCGCTGTCTGAGTGCCCAGTTTTGAAGCAGGTTTGTGGTAAGGAGTCAAATTTTGAACTGGGTAACTCCAATTCATTCCTGGCTGTGAAATGCCATCCCTGTAATGCTTCCAGTGGAAAATTTGTGTTGTTTATTAACTCAATTTGCAATAAATATGCAGGATATGGTAATTCYGACTGCAGGGGGGTGTTATTTGTTTGCTGGCAGCATTTGTTGTCCCCAAAGTAATCTGAGAGGAGCATTTTCTGAAATGGGAGTTGTTTTGCCTCTTCAATTAGAATGTAGCTCTGCATCTTGATTTATTGGCAGTTACTTCTCTTTTTTTAATTCCAGCTTAAGGTTATGTTGAGTATTGAGCAGCATAAAAAATTTAAAATTTAAATCTAATAGTAAACTTAAATAAAAATACAGAATTTAAAATTTAAGTCAGAAATTAAGAAATTAAKACATTTAAAATAAAAGGGAAATRTGGCAAATAGTGAGTTATRTTTGATARCTGCCTGGTGAGCRCCTCTGTCCTTTTTAATTTTGAGGYTTTACAAAAATCCCAATTTCTTATTCAGCTCTGGGAAGAATTGGAGAGAAGGCAGTGATGTGATGAAGGTCAGGGAAGTGCTCTGAATCTCTGCAGCTTGGCAGACAATGTCATATTTCATTCTTCTGTCTCCATCTCCATCCGATTGCCCTGACAACGCTGGGCTGCTGTGGCAGGAGTTGAAAACAGAGCTTAAACGTGGAATTGAGGTTTTTTTATTGGAATCAGGAAAAGGTTTCTTSCTGATGTTTGGCTGAAACAGCTGTCAGGGAAATTCAGAAGCAGTGCACAAATTCTAACCCTGTGTGATCACAAATGGTGCATTTATTGCAGTGCTTATTGCAGTTTCCATCCACAGCCTGAGCTCAGTGTTTTGCTGTTTTAATTCCATTTTCTTTGGGAAAAAAAAAAAAACACCCAAACAAAAAAAAAGAGAGGTTTTTCTTTTTTTTTTTTTGCAGGTGGAGTGAGGTGACCCGCAAAGTGGAGCTGTGGGTTCAGATCCTGGAGCTGAACGAGAACGGGGAGTACTGCCCTGTCGAGGTGACCCCTGCCAAGGACGTCAGCACRGGTGGCATTTTCCAGCTCCGGCAGGTGAGGTGGCACCTGCAGGGTTCCAGTTGCTGGAAAAACACAAAGGGAGAGGCTGAGGAGCTTTTCTTCAGATGGCTGAGGTGTCCAGGGATGTGATGCTTTATGGGGCTTACCTAAAAGAGAGGCTGCACAGAATTCTGAGAATAAAAACCAGGTGTATTTATTGCAGGGCAGTGATATTTTTTGAATATTTTATATTCAGGGCAATCCCAGCCCACCCACAATGGACAATGGCTCACGGGTTTTTCACCCTTTCTCACTTTTGTCCATTTGCACAAAATCGGGGCTGAATCCTCCAATTGCAGCTGCAGCCAATGCAGTCATTGACTCCGAGTTGGCTCCCCCAATTTTCTGTTGTTTCCATTTCTTGGGGCCTGGCACAGTGAGGTGTCCTTGAGTGGAATTGTTTTGTGTGAAAATGGGAGAGCAGGAGCTCAGCACTGTCAGTGGAGTCTGGAGTTAAACACAAAAAAATTACAGAATTACAGAAAAAAATAGAAACTGGTATCCTAAGGCATCAGAAGTGTCCAGCTTAGGTACAAAATGTGAAAAAAAACAGATATGAAGTGGGGTCCCTTCCAGGRAGACAGAGCAAAACTCAGCTTGAAGGTGATCAAAACTCCCCTGTCAGCTTTTTGCCCTGCCCTGTGCCCTGTCCTGTGMCAGCCCCTGGCAGAAGGGCCATCAGYCTCCACTGAACCTCATTATTTTTTCAAGAGGCCCAGAGTTTCCCTTTATTTGATCCCTGAAGCCGAGCACTCCTTTGTTCCTTGAGTTAAATTGTTAATGCTTAACTGCATAGCTCACATTTTTRAATGATAAGCTGCTGCCCAAAGAACACCAGGAATCAGTAAAACTTGGATACAGGCTGCTCCTCTGACCTCACCAACTCCTTTGATTTTTGTTTTATTTTTATTTATTTTTATTTTTTTTAATTTTAATTTTATTTTTTTATTTTTATTTTTTGTTGGGTTTTTATTTTTATTTTCATGTTGGGTTTTTTTTCCCTAACTATTTTACTAAACAGCAGTTACTTTGCTGCACTGATACCATCAGTGGGTCAGAATTTTCAGTCAAGGGGAGGAGAGTCAGGAAAAGTTCATTGAAATTCCAGTAGCTCACCAAATGAAAATTTGCTCTCAACAAAATTTGCTCTCCTCTTTTGTAAGGTGGGGAGCAGATCTCATTTTCCACTTTCAGAAGTATTAAAATAAAAATCCCTTAAGTGTATGTTTGAAAACCCTCCAGAAGAGTAACTGGGGAATTGCTGAATGCTGAGCTTTTCTTTTTCTTCTTATTTTATAATAATAAAATTATTTTATTTTTATTTATTTTTCTCTGTAAATGCATTAATCCTGGAGGGGGATCTCTTGAGCACTGGGTCATTGGGATTGCTCTCCTCCCCACTGTTCTTCCGAAAATAAAAATACAATATTCTTGCCTAAGGCTGCCAGTAGAGGTCTCTCTGGAATTAAACTTTCAGTATTTAATTTTTATTTATTTATTTTTTTTAACCAGCATTTCAATTTGTTCTTTTGGACAGGGCCAATCTCGACGAATCCAGGTTGAAGTGAAGTCTGTGCAGGAATCTGGGACCTTGCCCCTGATGGAGGAATCCATATTATCTGTTGGCATTGGCTGTGTTCAGATAAAACACATCAAATCACAGAATTATCAGGTAAAACCCTGAATATTTACTGGCAGCTGCAGCCTGGAGCCCACTCTGTGCCTTTCAAGCCTTAGTGTGGTTTTGGGGGATATTTTTTCAACCTCCTTAAGTCTATAAAGCAATAGGATTGGCAGAATTGTGTTGATGGGGGTTTAGGGATTGTTCAGAGGAGTTCAAATCTAAACCTCTGTCATTCAGAAACTGTTGTGGAAGATGTTCCTCTTGATCAAAAATAATTTTCTGTGGCAGAGGTAACAATTTTAAGATGTTCTATGTGTTTTCTGATTTTGGTTGGATTTTTTTCCCTGTCTTTGAAAGCAGCACAGCCTTAAAACACCACTCAAAGAAGGAAAGAAAATACCAATGTTCCTAAAATTCAGAGTTTTTCCTGTAGATTTTTCTTTAGTATTAAACATAGAAGTGATTTTAAGTAAGTACACAAATTAAAAATGAGCTGAAAGTATTCAAATTAAAAATTCAAAGTAAAATAAACCAGCGTCCAGTTATAAATGTTAGAATTATGTGAGCCAGATGTTTGACAGCCTCACACACACTGCACCTCCTGTTAAATGTTTTAGGGTTTTTATTCTTGCAGTGTTTCTGTGAGTTTCTGGTGCACTTTGACTTTTTTCCCAACAGATAAATTAAAATTCAGTCACTCCTGGAGCTGTCAAAGCCAAAATCTGGTGCAACAAAAATCTCCAAATAAATTAAAATTCAGTCACTCCTTGGGGCTGGCAAAGCCAAAATCTGGTGCAACAAAAGTCTCCAGATAAATTAAAATCACTCTGTGGGGCTGACAAAGCCAAAATCTGATGCAGAATCTCCAAATAAATTAAAATTCAGTCACTCTCTGGGGCTGTCAAAGCCAAAATCTGGTGCAACAAAAGTCTCCAGATAAATTAAAATTCAGTCACTGACAAAACCAAAATCTGGTGTAAAAAACTCCAATTTTTTTTTTCATTTGTTGCCTTGCTTGACACAAGGCCAGCTAAATAAAAAAGTAGATGTCCCAAATTATTTACCCTCTTGACAGAGTATAATTCAATCCATATCTGCTCCCCTTTTTTTGCTTGATCAGGATGGTTTTTCCTTTGAGCTCTGAAGAACT